CCCCCCCCCTTTCTCGCTGTCGGAAACAAGTACAGACAAAGAACACAAAAGCGCCACCTTATTACGGACTAGACCAGCCGTATTATTAACGAGAAAGAAAAGATTCGGGTGCATGAAAATAGGTATACGTGCAGTAAGTCGATGAATGGATGGATGGGTGAATGATCGCATGAGGTCGATTTGGTGCTGCTGCTGCGTCACTGCTTCCGTCGCTGCTTTGTTGATCCAATAGGACGCGAGCGCACGGCGGTGATAAAGAACGGATGGAAACGAGCGAACTCGTGAAAACTGGAGTGTCAGGAAATGACAATCATGGCGAACAGGCGCAGGACAATGTGCCAGACTACGAACGATACTCAAACAGACGCGAACGACCACCAACGACACCACCACCACTACCTGAACAAACAAACCAATCGCATAGAGTTTCACATTATTACATGTGGCGGCTAGGAAAACCGAATTGTCTGGAGGCAAACAAGTGGAAGTATCTAAGTCAACCAGAGTCATTGAATGAGAATGAAGGCGCACGGCGGATGACAGTTCATCTCCCCAGGACCGAGCCAGTGCAAACGTATGTACAGGGGGAATGAGTGCAGACCGGGAATGACGAAACACGGGACGCAGGGATGGGGAGAAACCGTGGATCAAAACAGAAAGTGAATACGGAAAGAAAAACACCACGAGGTGTGAACGCACAGATGGGAGACCAGGATATCTGTGTCTGGGGTGGGGGTCGAAGTAAGGAAAACAATAACAATGGTAACAATAGCAATAATAATAAGAACAATAATAGTAATAATAATCACCCAAACAAAAGGTCCGGGAACNGGAACTAACCGGCGCTGGATCACACGGTCCATCGATTGACCAAAATTTCCAGACACACGTAAACACAAGAGACGGATTGAAAAAAACGCGGTGGCAAAAGAAGCGTATCGGCGGAAGAACAAGGGTGTGTGTGTCTGTGTGAGCTCGAGAAAGACAACGGGTACAGTTCGAGCATGAATGACGCCACGCGAGCGAAGTGGTTGAGAGACTGATTGACTGGCGGCAGAACAGGTACGTCCGCGATCTATCGCGGAATAGAGCTATGTGCGATTCCGTTGAAGTGGAGCTCAGCAGAAACGAGAATCAGAATGGCGGATTCACAAAGTACGGAACGGAATCCGTAGACCGTACATCGGGTGACTGAAAGTGAGTGGTTTTTGTTTGTAGTTCTATGACAGGTAGAACTCGGGAAGGGCAGATGACCCTGTGTAAGGCGATCGGGAAGAATGGAGACATCAGTGAGAAGTAAGGAAATACCGTTTGGTAAACCACAGGAATAGGAGGATATAATATCACAGAAGCGAATGAGAACCAGATAGTGTAGAAAGGATATGGTTCGGGGAAGAAACTCGGGTCTTCAATCAGCCGGAATCGCCCCACAAATGAACAAATTAGTTGATAAACCAACCCACCCAACAAGCGCAAGTATTGACTCAACGTACATTTGTGCGTGCACAAACACACACGTGGAAGAGGTGGCTCTCGAGTTCCCCTCCACCACCACCACCACCACCATTGCTACATACACACGCACAAAGAGAAAATGGAACAGAAAAAGGAGAGAGCGAGAGAAACAGAGAAAAAGTCGCAAATACGAAAATAGCGCAACGGAAGCGCAAAGCAACAAACAACAATAGCCGAACGAACGAGGGACGCCCTGGAGTTTTGCGCACACAGTACTGTCCGACTGAAAGAACTCGAAATGGGGTAAAGTGTAACGGTGGTGGTGGTGGACACAACGAAAGCCCCTTGGTCAATCAATCAGTCAATCAACTGGTGCGATGCGATCCACATTCTGTTGAGGTTATTTCTTCGGTGAATAGCGCGGATTGGACGGCGCGTCGACAAACGAGCGTAACTCGTAGGTGGCCACACGCGGATCGAATTCAAATTTGTCACGCGCGAAAATCAGACGCAAATCCGTGTGCAAGTACAGACGTCCGGAACGGGTTGTATGAAACCTGACACGCGCAAGATAAAAACACCACACGAGAGCAAGACAAGCATGAATGCAGTACAAAAATCCACGATGAAGATAGAACAAAACTGAAACAAAAAAGGAATAGAAATGTGTTTCGAAAGATTGGATAATACAATGAAATATCGTGCCAAAATACGATTTTTGTCCTACGCGGGTCGAGTTCCACAAGCAAATTTACCAGGTGCTATAGAACCGTGATGCACAATGCCAATTGGCTGTGTAACATACTGTAACAGCCAGACCATTATCGAGGAGTTCACAGCAAACAGAAGACACGCCAGGAAAATCGTAAATCTGATTGCGTTAAGGCATTATCCCGCTCCGTTCGAGTGGACGATCATGAACGGTAAGTGGTACGGTATATCTGAAACCTCAGGCTCGAAATTCATTCAATTATTCAGCAGATCGGAAGTATTCTGTAGTCGATTTTGTCACGGACGGACCAAGGCAAACAGGGCGAATCGAGACGACATCACAATAGTGTGTGTGTGTGTGTGTGTGTGTGTGTGTGTGTGTGTGTGTGTGGATTACGGGGTGCACTAGCTGGAATCAGTTGTCACTTGTACAATCCGTTCATACGTGCACTAAATTTACTCAGGGAGCAGGTGTTTGCGATTCGGGCACTAACTAATGCAATAGCCTCGTTTATCGTGATAGTTGGCAGATGTGCTACCGATGTCCACAGGATGAGAGCCATGCATGGAAGAAAGCGGTGTTTTTGTTTGTCACGTCCTAAGACATATCGGGCAAATATTAAAACCCGAACTGATGAATTTGGTGGTGCAAGTTTAGTTCAGTTCTTACGACCATTAACCATGCACTTTCGTGCGCCAGTTTCGGTTGCCCATTTGAATAAAACATCAGAATGATGATTAGAATGTTGAGAGCAGATTAAAGCGGAAGATAACACATTTTCACAGGCTGAAGTTACAAGAACAATTAATAAATGCATGAGCGCCACTGTTTGCGACACGCAGCAATATCGCAGGGCCGTCCCATTGCGGTTCGTAGGGCTTGTCTACGTAGGTGGCCAAGAAGATTTTACGCGAGCGCAAGTAATGAAGCTTGAGAGTCTATTCCCTGTTGTCACACATCACTATCTTCCTCCCATTATACTATATTTTCCTTTAACTGCCAACTAGACGGCTGAAAAAGATACTCAGTAAAAAGTGCAAAGCCTGAAACTGAGACTCGAATCCACAAACCAAACAACAAAAGACGAACATAAAACGAAATCTGCCGCATGTGGGGCAAAGGAGGCCTAAAACAGCCGTTTCGTCGTTTGATTGGTCGTCGTTAGCAGTGATAATCAGTCGATTAGAGGGGGGAGGAGACAATGCTGTCCTGCACAAAACAGACGCGCACAGGAGTTAGTAGGCTGGAAACGAAACTTGATAAATTCTGTGATGAAATTACTGACCATGAGTCGATAAACGTTGCACGCAGGGAACTACACATCGTGGAGATACAAGATCAAAATAGGTATGTTGAGATCAAAAGAGGAGTTAGCCTCAATACAACCTAAAAGCAACTCCCAGCGGTTGCCGTGATGAAAGCCAATGACACGAAGAGTGGTTGAAGAAATCTGGAGTCTACTGATGAGTAGTCACAAGTGGTAAAAAACGTCTCAAGCTTTGTATAGCTACAAAGCTGTGCGAAACCATACGACGGACTCTATGCTAGAATGAAACTAAACCATCTTCCTTCATTATGCTATTGTGCCATTACCACAAAAATACGAGGAATGCGCTGGCCAGGTTAAAAGCATCAAATGTTTCGTCAAGTGGTGAAATGTTCATCACCCCCCTCCCGCACTGAGAATGATTGGTTAAAATCTGCAGTATTACCCTTGAACCTTTGTTATTCACTCTGAAGGTTTGTCAAACCGCAGAACAGGTATAGCGGATTGCACGTAACCCAAACTGTTACCCTACTCGGTGAGCGAAGATCGATTTACTAATCTCCATGTTTTGCGGACATATTCACCGAATGAAGCACAGCAAAGATGGAATATCATTTCCGACGTACACACATATAGCTGTTAAAATAGCCATTGTGTAGCTCAGTAATTGCAGCTTGATCACATTTTCATCCGAATACCTCAGGCTCATTACTTGTATGCGATTTCCATCCTGAAATATTGTGTTCTGTTTAAGCATGCAGAAATAACGTTAACCAGTTCGTCTGTACGTCACTGTAGTCAGGATAACAGATTGCGAGACATGATAAAGACGAAGGGATAACGACGAAGCACGTCACTTACCGTAAATGCACCAAGTATCGTAAGAAGGCCGGTTGATGCTGAGAATCACTAGGGCGGCTCACCAGTCCGTCTGTGGGCTTCACCGCGCCGGAGGAATGATGCGAATGTGGTGGTGGCGGCGGATGTGAGTGCTCGTTCGAACTGGAGGCTAACGAGCACATGGACGAGGTGGTCGAACGAAGCGAAGAACAGGAGCAGGAGGAGGACAAATCCCCAGTCCCGTCGGTTGAAATGTCATCGGCCAATGTTTGAGAGTGATCTGGTTCAGAGACGTTCGTGCCGTTGGTCGTTCCCATTTTGTTCTGTGGATCGGCCGACCCACGCTGACCTTGATCGTGCCAGAAGAGTTCTGGGGCTGAACGGCGATCCCCTCCCGTGGGTATTGATGAGACCGGAGGAACAAGATGTGTAGTATCCCTGTTAGAGGGCTTGTCAGGTTGTGGTTGAGATGTGTATGTGATCGTGGAGGACGCATTTGTTGTGCCGTGTGAAGCACCAGACGAACGATCGATTGGCATATACACGGTACGCTGTCGAAGAAACGTTTGCGAATTCGGTGGCATATCTTCGAAATCATAGCCGATAACGAACATCTTGACGACAAATTTGTTGGGATTGAACAGCGTCAGCTGTTGAATGGGTTGAAAGAAAAAGGAAGGAGGCGGATATCGTTAGTAATGATTGCGTTTAAAATGCGGTGCAATGAAGAACCAGTTATGGGCACGATCTAACAGGGCTAACACAAACGGTCTCCTAAAAGGTTGATGGAATACTGAACAATAACCTCGAAGAATAAGGCTAGTTCCTCAGAGGATTTGCTGGGTTTCGTTCGTGTCCCAATAAGTGCTCTCATGGAGTATACCTCTTGAAACATCTACCAGCATCCATTAACTCACGATTCTTCCGTGATGAGAGCGATTTATTGAAGTGGTGGAGTAGGGGCGGAAACCCCACATTCAGTTTGAAAATCTTGATATCCATTGTTCTGAGAAGAGATACAAAAACCGTATCTAGAACATCCTGGTCACGAAAGCCATCGGCTTGATCGGGTAAGTTTATTTCAGAAATACCAAAATACTAGATTGAGTTAGTTTTACCTGAAGAAGCACACTGTTCTGACGCACATATCTTATCACATTGTTTTCGCTCTTTGATTGATGCTGTTTGATACCATCATAATGCCAGGGAGGTAGTGCGGTCAAACTATACTCCCGTCGTCTAACTTTTCTTGATTTTATATGGCATTACTTTGATTGAGTGCTCCCCTTCCTGAAAGTTGTTTGCACAGTGACATATTCAATAATAGGAAATGAATGAATTCATAAAAACAATTTTCAGTACTGTTAGTAAAAAGTCAACGGCAGCGAACATTCAGCATATACGACATGTTTTCCGCAACTCTCAACTAGGGACCAATTTTCCATTAAGCAAACCTCAGTAGGCCATTTGTGACCTATTGAATTACGATACTCTAGGTTACTTGCTCAAAAAACAAATTGCTAGTTTGGGGCGCATTTTAAACCTTGTGCATGTTGAAACAGACGAGATTGCGCGTACGTTGTTTTAACTCGCGTAATTCGTCCCCACCCAGATCAATTATATTGCCATTGGCTACCGCTTAAAACTCCCATTTGGCTAATTTACTCATTGCTTTAAGGTATGTGTCACAGTGAATTAATTACTCTCCGCCGCGGCTTCATCGTAACTAGCCATGTTGCTCTTATTCCCATAAACAATCCAATCACGACACTAATTTTTTAAATAACCTTTATGTAGATATATATATATACCACCGGCTTGAGAACAAGCATGGTGCCAACGCCACAACAATAATAACAATAACTCGAGGGGTTGGGATACAGAGTATGGGGGAAAAGACGTAACTGTGAGAATGATAGCTTACGAATGAATGGAATAGTAATTGTTGTGTTTCAAAGTACACTTTTAATTTTTTTGTGTTGTTTGTTGTTTTTACGGGGCACGGGATTTCAACAGACAGACTGTACAGCATTCGCGCCACTGTCTTCTATGCTGGGCTATATCTCTCAACGTATCTGACCCAACGACAATCCTCATCCCTTGGGCCCCAACCTGGAAGGCGGGCTGCACCAACTGAAGCCAGCTTCTTCATACCTCTACACCATGTCATGGTCTCACCGCGGCAGCGCTTCTTACAGCCTTGCCGGTACGTGCAAAAGGAGTACGAATAGGTAGTTGATGGGTATACACGCAATACGTGAACAAGCCATCGAAGGCGGTGTAGAGCGATTACTTCTTTTAGAGAACGACTATCCGCACCCAACACACGACGACGGACCTCATCATTGCTCACCCGATGTTCCCACTAGACAGGAGCAATGCTCCGGAGACATCGGTGGTCAAATACAAAAAATCGATTAGCATCCTCCGCTCGGAGGCCAGGTCTCACAAACGTAAAGCAGAATGCTACCAACCGCGGCGATGTACACTCTTCCCTTAAGGGACAGTCGGATGTGATGACGGCGCCACAGGTGTCGTAGGTTGGCGGAAGCTGGTCTGACTTTCGCTATTCGTGATGTGATCTCGTCCCCAACGGCGCCACCACCAGTTGCGATCAAGCTCCCGAGGTACTTAAAGCTCTCAACTACTTCTAGCTGATCACCACAGAGGGTGAGTGCAGGC